CATTAGGTTTTAAAATCAAGAGTGCTCCAAGTCAAAGGCAAAGCTTCATTCAAGTTCAAGCTACATTCAAGTTCAAGTTCTGCATCCCAACAATTCAAGGTTCTCCCTATTATACGTGAGAATGTATGAAATTGGTTTTAGCATACATGTGTAAATTCCAAGGATAGTTAACACAGAATCTCTCTACTCAGATCATTTATACAATAAAAAAAATGACCCTGTTCTGCCTTTCAGTTGTTCAGCTTGGCCTTTCCAGCAACATCAGGTAACATGCTGTGGAGTCTCACAATAACAACTCTTGTCTACCCCTTCTCCCATCAAAAGCTGCCTTGCTTTTCCCTTCCAATCTAGTTTCTTCAGCTGATCATGTAGAGGACAGCCTCACAGATTGCATCCTCTGCTGATTCCCCCTGCCTCCTGGATTTTATCCAATGACTGGAATTAAAAAGGCCCAGACAGACTACTTTGGGGTGGACTTAGAATCCATGTCCAGCAGTGTGACCATGACTGGTCTCAATAGATGACCTCACAGCAGCCCATCTCTGCCTTTCAAGAAAACTGAAGAAAGAAAACAGTACGACCTAGTGGACGGAGCACTGGCACCCCCAGTACCTAGGTTCTGTTCCCATCTTGTCCACTGGTTGGCCGGGTGACTATGGACAAATTCATTTCTCATCTGTAAAATGGGCACATGCATTTATCTGGTTCCAGGTCTACTGATAAGTGCTGGGTATCATTATTAATGCTTCACCTGCTCCAGCTGCAGGAGAGCAGTAGAAGACCCTCTCCAGTTCAGGGCAACTTACTACTGCATTACAGGGGAGGATCCATCATAAGAGGATCTTCTAGCTTGGTACTGAGACTTCTCTTCCCACGGTCCTCCAGTTTACCTCCTCAGCTCTTCCAGTGCTTTGCTCTCTGGCTGTGTCTCCAGCAAGCAACTCATTCACTAGACTCACTCTCCGCAAACTAGCGCCGGAGGCAGACTTGAGCCTTCAGCAACTTTGCAATCTCCAGAAGAACCAGTGATGGGAACCACTCGTAACCTAAGGCTGCCAAACCCCATAATAAAACTATCCTTGGGATTCTCTGCAAGGTGGGAACAATCACCTGGAGCCTATTGTAGCTCCACCTTCAAGCGCCTCCCATCTTCTACAGCTCTGGGTGACGGCAGACTGAGAAAAGACCCAAGGGAACTGCGGGGACACCCAATCTACACTGACTTCAGACACCAAATTGGGAAGGCACTTGCAAGAGGTTACAATAGCAGGTTCCAAACAGGTGGCAAAATCCACCTGTGGGGCAGAGGACCAGTACAAAGCTGTCAGCCCCATTTACACCCCATATATGGAATCGGGGGGGAAGGAGGGGGACAGGCGTTGATGACATGATCACACCAAAAGGCTTGCATAGTCATGATCCTCTGTGTGGCCATCGAAGATCCCTTGGCTGCTGTAAAGGCTCTAAATGCTACGGAGAGAGTATCTGTGCCAACTACTCATTCATTGATTGCGGAAGGCTTAGAACATAAGAGCAGCCACACTGGACTAGACGGTTGGTCCATCTAGCCCAGTATCCTGACTGCCAACAGTGGCCAATACCAGGTGCTCCAGAGGGAATGAACACAACAGGTAATCCTCATGTGATCCCTCTCCTGTCACCCATTTACAGACAAACAGACACCATTCCCACCCATCCTGGCTAATAGATTCATGGAGGTTAGGTCCATCAATGGCTATCTAGCTCTTTTTTGAACCTTGTTGAAGTCTTAGTCTTCACCACATCCTCTGGCAGGGAGTTCCACAGGTTGACTGTGCACTTCCAGGGGATGGATCACATATTTGACTACCATGCCAACAATGATCCCCTATGCCAGTCGAGGATAGGGTCATGGCTTTCAGCTCCCCGGCCCATCTGCACTCATCCTGCACCAAGCACAAAAATTTTCTCCTTGCATATTATGTGCAGTTAATAAATAGAGACACATCTTTTGTGTGAATATTTGTTTCCCACTGGGAGCATGAAAGGTAGCTATATTTCCAGGAATCTAAGATTTTTCATCTCGCTCAAAATCACCTCTAATAGAAAGCCAACCCCTATCTATAGGGGAGTTTGATTACAAGGTTTTGGAGTAAGGCTTCACAGAGAAATTTCATCTCACCAGGGACCATCTTCCAGTTCCAGCTGAGGCCAATGGAAAGTGACCCCCGGACTTGAACTGGACATGGATCAGGTCCTTAGATGACACAGCAAACAGATGTGCCAAATTAATCTCTGATGCAAAACTACTGACTTCAGCTGAGTTACACCATGGACGAATTCGATAATTATTATTTATTTGCACTGCAGTAGTCCCTAGAAGCCTTAGTAATCCACCAGACTCCATTGTGCTAGAAACTGCACAAAACCAAAAGTCAGCCTTGGTCCCAAAGGACTTTCCATCCTGTGCCTTTATTCCTTCCAAATCAATAGACCCCTCTCATCTTGAAATCAAAGCTATGGAGGCGCATTCTTTCTCCTACTCCAAACCGAATCAAGTTTTACACGGGTGTTGTACATAAGACAGTACTACAGTAAGGCTTAATAAGTAAAAGGAGAGACAACCACTTGAAATAGTGAAACTTACTCAAAAAGAGTGAATTCGTCAGGGGTCGCCAGCACTGGGCGCTATTTGCGATAGCAACTTCATGGCAACAAGGTTACATTGATTATAGTATCTTTCATGAAATGGGATCCCAAAGTGGTGTCAAACAACACTACAACATTACTGAAGTGTAGCCACCTCTGGGTGAAGCGTGAAAGCTCTTTTACATAACTGTTAAGGAAGACTTATATGGCTTCCCACAAAAATTGCCGGGGAAAAATAAATTGCCCAGAACAGAATTGGGCCAGGACAACCACTTCTGCAAAAGATGCCCAGGGATCTTCCCAGACCACATAGAGAGGGTTTCAATAGTACCTTACACACAACATAGTGCCCAATAGCACTAGGCTGGGACATTGTCTCTGCACTGCTGTAGGAAGAGGAGGGCTACTTATTAAGTTAACAACACTTAGGTTTGCCCCAGTGGTCTCCCAACCAACTGCATGAGTAGAGCAACACTGAGCTGTGAGATTGGAGGGGACCAGAGCACAAGATGGCTTGGCACCCGCCTGTACAAAAGCAGCAAGTTGTCTGCATGACCCTGTCTTGCAGAGGGTTGTTTGGGAAAAAAGCAGCTAGTGAGTCAAAGCACTTCCCCATCCAACCCCATCCTAAAGCGCATCCCTAGATTGTAAAGCCAGAAGGGACCCAGTCTGGCCTCCTGCAAACCCAAACTCTCACTCAGACCATTGATTTGTGCTACTGTTCTACTCATATCAGCGTGTGGGCCTGAAATACCTGTTTAATGTGAAGACTAAAGTTCTAATTCCAGGCATTATACGCCCAGAAGGCTTGATGGCGTTAAAGCCTTATACTTTTACAATCCTAAGTCCTTGCTCAAAAGAGGAATCCCTTTCAAAAGATGGCAAACTCAATGCGGTTTAGTGGCTGGAGAGCTAATGGGAGGGTGCAATTCAGTAGCTCACAGGTAAAGGTCCTGAAAACCTGGATAGTGAGAAATTCTGCGTCAATGATTTAAAAGTTCCGGATACAACTATAAAATATTGGTCCCGCCTGTGAAGACTGAAAGTGCTTATGAGACGTACATTAATAGTAAATTGGCTCATGGCTATTTCCCTTCACACAATATAAACCAAAGGGAATGAATGATCAGGCCTCTCAAACGTTACCACATTTTCTTATTAAAAGCAGAAGGGAAGAACAGGTATCCAGAAATCGGACTCCAGCCTAGCAAAGGAGCCGAAAACGCCTCGCCACGTTGTAGTCCGCCTGAGTCACTGCTACAGAGGACGAAAACAGGTCCCCGCTAGCCCTGCATCCCGCCGGATCTCTTCCCGATATTCTCTTTGCTCCTTGCAAGCCCCAAGACGCCCAGCTTTGAAGATGTAATCAGCCCGTTTTCCAAGCTTCTGCCTTTCCAGAACTAGCTTCAAAGCGCACGCAGCCAAGCGACGGGTTCCCACGGCTAACGGAACGCTTCGCCACGGCAGAGCGCAAGTGAACTTGAGAAAAATTCATCCCGCCGGATCTCTTCCCGATATTCTCTTTGCTCCTTGCAAGCCCCAAGACGCCCAGCTTTGAAGATGTAATCAGCCCGTTTTCCAAGCTTCTGCCTTTCCAGAACTAGCTTCAAAGCGCACGCAGCCAAGCGACGGGTTCCCACGGCTAACGGAACGCTTCGCCACGGCAGAGCGCAAGTGAACTTGAGAAAAATTCCCCTCCCCGAGCCATGAATTCTCCTTCGGTCTTGGAAACGGAGTCGCCCGCTCTGGGTGGTCGCCGTTCCCACGGCCGAGATCTGGGCTAGTGCGGATGGGGAACAGTCCCCGAGACAAGCCAAACAACCACCGCTTTGTTCCTGGGGG